ATGATCTCAAAAATGTAATAAATTGTCTTTCTCTTAGTTTTCTCATTGTTCTTCTTGCATCTTTATAGTACAATTTCCCACCTCAACATGCTTACTGTGTTTGGATTTAAACATGGAAATGTGGCCACTGCTCACTATCATCCACATATGAACTATTTCAGACTTTGCAGGCCCTGAACACACCAGAAACCACGGACTGGTCCAGGATCAGGGTTTACTCAGACATGTGCATGCAAACGGTGCGGAGAGCCATGTCTCATCTTGTGACCACTTTTCAAACAAAACTGACGATGCTGACAGACACAGGTAAAGACCTGCTGAAGTTGTATCATCCATAGGTTTGTCTGTTAGTATTTTGCTATAATGTTGTTCCTGTGTTTTCGCCCGTCGTAGAACTGACCAGAATGAGACAATACAAAGGTTAGATCAAGCACTGATTTAATTTACTTTCAATTATTTTTTCTAAAGACAGTTCTAACTAATCTTTCCCTCTTTTTAGAGTCTGTCGCTTTTAGTGAATCAGATGCTGGAAATGGCCTTTTCATTACTGATTCGGGGACTCGTATGAAATACTCCATAAAGGCAAAGTCCTTGACATCAACTGATGGTTCACTGAGGTTTTACTTACCCATGACTTTTGGAACAAAAGGCTTCACCTCTGGCCGGCACTACTGGGAGGTCCAAGTGGGTATGAGGAATGACTGGGATGTTGGTGTTGCCTTGGAAACAGTTGACAGATCTGATAAGGTACTTGTGAAAACAGAGAATGGATTCTTTTCCATAGGAAAGATTGGGTTTGATTATTATGTTAATGATACTCCCCGAAAAGCTTTCCACCTCTGTCCAAGACCAAGACTAGTGGGGGTTTATTTGGATTATGAGGAAGGCAGAGTGTCATTCTATGATCTGGATAAGAAGTTACATATTCACTCTTTCACAGTGAAAAGCTTCACAGGGAAACTTTTTCCATACTTTTATCTGTACGGTAGAGGAAGGAGATCTGAGCCTTTGGTTATCGTTTCAGTGTATGACAAGGGATCCTTCTTCACTCACCTTTACAATTTAAAACAAGCTGAAAAAATAACTGCACAGAACAATGAACTATTGTCGGGTCAAACTGCTTCAAAATGATAAATAACCAGACGAATGTTAAAGTAACCATCAATTGGGACTTTTTCCATAACTGTAGAACAAGATGATGAGCCCTCAGAGAAAGTATTTTGGGTATAAAGGAAGTGATTCTGAGCTGCACCTTTAAATCTTTTTGGCATTGCTTTACAGTATCTAGTGTATTTGATGTAAGTTGACTAAGTGAAGTCTCATGACCCATCACACTGAATGACGACTGCTATGATGTAAACAGTTATACTGAATTTGTATTTTTTTTTTTTATTAGATTCAGAGTTTTTCATTCTTGTTTTGAAATTTTATGTCTCTAATTCTGGTGTTTTAGTTTTTCTTATTTTTTAACTTTCTTTTATTGGTGTACAGAACTTTGGCCAGCGGTGTTGATTTTTAAATCCTTACAATTTTAAATTTATATAACGCCAAGTCACAACAGAAGTCGTCTCAGGGCACTGAACAGAAATATTCACATACATGAAAAAGTCAATTAGTAAAGTTCTCTATCTAAGGAAGCAGCAGACTCGTTGAATCTGCACTTCTTCACGGTCTCCCATCCTGAACAAGCACAAAGGCAACAGTGGAAGGAAAAACTCCCTTTTAACAGGAAGAAACCTCCAGACACAGGACGAGCTTCAACTGGCTGGAGTTTGAGAGGACATGAAGGAGAAACAAAAAAACACAGAATGGCAGGTCAAGGTTTACTTATTGGAAGAAAGATAAAACAACATGTTAAGGATAAAAATAATTACAAAATACAACAGGTAGATTAGAGTAAGTAAAGCCAGCAGCAGAGTGAAGCTCTCAAACTTGATCTCTCTAAGTGGCTTCAAACATCTAAGTTCATGTTCTTGTTTTTAGTTTTCTACATCATCTTACATCCTAGTTGTTTTTGTGTTACATTTTTTAATAACATTTAATTTTCACTTGTTATTGTCAATTTATACATTCTTTAGGATTGTCTTTGTTGTCCACTGTTGTCATCATTCTTTGTTAAAATCAGGTCTCTCTTGTAAATGAGTCCCAGAGGCTCAATGGGATTAACCAGTAAATAAAGGATGAATGATTGAGGAAATGTGGTCATTTTGTCCTCCTGCAGTCTAAGTCTATAGCAGCATAACTAAGGGATAGCTCAGGAAACCCAAGCCAACCCTAACTATAGGATTTATCAAAAAGCGAAGACTTAAGCCTACTCTTCAAACTGGACAATGTGTCAGCCTCACGGACAGAAACTGGAAGTTGGTTCCACAAGCGAGGAGCCTGATAACTGAAAGCTCTTCCTCCCATTCTGTTTTTTTTGGGAATTTTAGGAACCACAAGTAAACCTGCAGCCTGAGAGCGAAGTGCTCTGTTAGGAAAATATGGAACAATAAGATCAGTAATATAATATGGAGCTAGGTTGTTGAGAGCTTTGTAGGTTAGAAGTAAGATTTTGAATTCGATTCTGGATTTGACAGGGAGCCAATGGAGAGAAACTAAAACTGGAGAGATATGATCTCTCCCACTAACTCCAGTTAAGACCTTGGCAGCAGCATTTTGGATCATCTGACGATGTTTTAAAGAAGTATTTGGACACCCAGATAATAAACCGTTGCGATAGTCCAGTCTAGACGTGACAAATGCATGGACCAGTTTTTTTGCATCATTTTTGGTCATGGTGTTTCTAATCTCACTGATATTAGAGGTAGAGGAAATGTGACTGTTCTGTCCAGTCAGAACATGGAATATGTTTGCAAGGTTCTCATGAGACCTTCAGGGGCATTATAAGAATGCAATGGGCCATCATGGCAGTATCTCAACCTGGGAGAGATTGTGGTGGCAGCAGGGCCGGTGTATCCATAGTGCCAAAACATCCAGGTCTGGTTTTGTTGTTCACAATTTGAAGCAAGACCACCTGGAATGTCTTTGTGTCCAGGTTACAACTATGATTTTGACAAGGTTATGGAAACAGCCTCATGCAGATGTGAAATCTGCATTCTAACACAATCCCAGAACGTCATACCAGAGTGGTATACAGAGTGTTGTGAGAGCACAGGAGAGTGCCTTAGGGAAGCAAACGGCAAGAAAAACGTTTTTGACAAGTGAACGATGTAATAGCATCATCATGGTTTTCCAAATTTGCTGCAACCTAGCCATGTTTAGGCTGTGTAGGTTCTGGAGAGTGTATAGACCCTTTTCACAATGACATCAGACAACTTACGTTCTGACTCGACGCAGTGGATCAGTACTTCCGGGTCTATTCTCCCTCGGGAGACCTGTCTGGAAACTTTGGAATTTCATACATTCAACCTTTATTTATAGAGGTTAAATTATAAGATATAGCGTAAGGTAAGGTTAATAAAAACTGTATTTACGTGTTCGTTAGCTGTGGTAATGTTATCCATCATTATCAATTTACCATTCTGTAACTGTGTCAGGAAACAGCCTCCAATTGTAAAGTAAGCTAGCTAGCAGCTAACAGGTAGCTAAACTCTACACTGCTGCTGCCTGTCAGTGCTGTAACATTAAAATATTTACTTTATCCATCCATCCATCCATCCATTATCTTTACCCGTTTATTCCATTTTGGGTCACGGGGGTCGCTGGTGCCCATGTCCAGCAATCACTGTGCGAGGGGCGGGGTACACCCTGGACGGGTCGCAAGTCCATCACAGGGCCACATAGAGACAAACGAGACAAACAAACATTCACTCCCTCACTCACACCTAGGGACAATTTAGAGTTACCAATCAGCCTAACATGCATGTTTTTGGTCTGTGGGAGGAAACCGGAGCACCCGGAGAAAACCCACGCATGCACGGAGAGAACATGCAAACTCCACCCAGAAAGGCCCCTGGACCGGGGTTTGAACCAGGGACCTTCTCGCTGAGAGGCAGCAGCTCTACCAGTTGCGCCACCGTGCTGCCCTATTTACTTTATCTATTAATGTAAAATCTCTGGCATCTTCCAACACTGTTGTTTAGAATAGCATTTTAAATATTGAAATAAAAACTATATGACAAACCACTTCCATGTTCTGATGATTAATAATTTCTCTTTTTACTTTCTTCTTGTGTCCATCTTTCTCAGCAGCAGCTCATCTAACCAGCATGACACAGTCATCAAGACGTTGTTAGTGCAGTGTGCCATGTTGTTCCAATAATAAACAAAACACACAGTATTTGAGTTTACCCTTTGAAAAAAAACGTTTCTATATCTTCACCTCAGAAATGTCAAGGCAGTAATGAGTAAGTAATAGGAGAAATGATGTAATAAAAAAGATAAATGAACAGGAAATTGATGGATGGATAAGTGATGTCTATTAAGGTTTATACTTTCTTTTCTTTTCAACTGGATGATGCCACACGGAGAATTCAAGAATTGCAGAGACAAGTTTTATCTGTAGAAATGGAAATCCAGCAGCTGACAATTAAGAAGTGCCCTCCTGTGTGTCAGAGTCAGAGTTTCTTTATTGTTATTCGCACAAATAAAGATGACTTGACTTGACTTGACCTCATGTGGTACATGTGGTGGAGCGAAATTATGTACACAAGGTCCCAGTTACATCCAACAATAAAATGTAAAAGAAAAACAGTAATAATATCTAAGACATGAACTAAAAAAAAAATATCAACTAAATATACACTATGCACTCATAACATAAAAACATTACGTCGAACATGAGCACAAACATGAACATGAGTCTGTGTGAGCAGATGAGCACGCATGAGCACATCAACATTGAAACAGATCAGCAGCAACATGAAACAGTGTGTGTATATATGTATATATGTATATATGTATATATATATATATGGAATATATATATATATATATATATATATATATATATATAT